GCGGGCCACCCAGCGCTTTTTTTGAACGCGCGTGGAGGGACCCCTGCGGCGGCCAGAGGAGGAGGGGGCTTTCAATGTGTGTGTGTGTGTGTGTGTGTGTTTGTGTGTGTGTGTGTGTGTATGCGTGGGGGGGGGGGAGGCGGGTCGGCGCCGCTGGCCCAGAAGCATGCTCTGCCCCAGGAGCGTTCCAGCTGACGGGGAGGAGCAGGAGAGGAGAACGGAGAGCGGGGGGGATGACGGGGGGAGCACTTGGAGCACTCGAGCAGCACAGCTTTGCAAAGGAAGAAGAGAAGGAGGGAGGAGGGTGATGAGCGTCAATTGGCAGGCGGATCCAGATCCTTGCTGCGAGGCGCTTCAGCTGCCGTCACCTCTCGCTCTCGCTCCGAGCCAGCCGCGAGGGCCCTCGTAGGATGTCCTGCATAACTAACTGGGGAACTTGCCTTGCGAGATCTTGGCCAAATGGTCTCGGCCCGTATTCGAAGGGGCCGAGGCGGTCACCAAGACTGTACGCCCGCAGTGCTGGCAGAAGTGTATCTGTTGAAACGGTTCCAAAACCCGGGCCGATGAGACTCGTGGAGAACGAGCCCGCACACCACCATGGACCCCGGGGCAGAGACCAACACTTCTTTGAGGGGGTAGGAAGGTGATGTGGTTGAAGGGGGTGTGGTGACAATGCTGGATCTGGCGAGGTTCTCGCTCGTAGATCACATCGCCACGTCCACGCATCACACCCCTTTCTGCCACGCCCCTTTCCGACCTCCAGACTTTATAGGGGGCAACACAGATGCCTCGATACGCCCGTGTTGGTACGCAACACGTGCCGTGCTCAAAGCGTCCGTGTCAATACGCTGCGTGTTTGGGCGAACGTACCGCGGTCAGACCTACGTTTCCAGTCCACGTGTTGAGCTCCGTATCAATACGCTACGTGTTGCTCGGAAACTGGAACATATACATTACCAGTGGCGGGTTGTTTTTTCAATCCCAAGACTTTTTGAGGGTCGAGGACGACGTCGGGGTGTTGTGGTGTATACTTTTCCCCCGTTTTCCAAGGGAAACAACGACAAATGTACACACCAGGATCCCGTATACATCAGGATCCGCGTTCCTGTGCGAATTCCAGCGTAGGTTCGGAAAAAAACGTCGGTGCATAGAGTTCGTTTGCCTAGTTGCGTGTTGCGCGCTGGGGCAGCTGAGATCGCAGCAGTGCCTGCCGAGAACGGGAGGCATCACACCGCAGCGGCATCGGGCGACGCCGCCGGCCTTCGGCGATGGCCGGTGTGGGGCGGGCCCACGTGCCGCGCGAGGGAGGCGCCTCGCCCCGCGCTGGCCAATTCCCGGATGCTCGGTTGGCCCCGCCGCGGCGTGCCGTTGGGACGACCGCGACACGCGCGCGCGCGTCTTCGAGGGGTGCAGGAGGAGGAGCAGGAGGAGGAGGAGCAGTACAGTGAGGCCTCTGAAAGAAGGTCCAGTTCGGGTTCGGAAGGGGCTCGGTGGTTTGAGACAGGTGAGCATATTTCGCACAGTAGGTTTTGCATTTAGAGTTGTGTGAAGTTTCCTGTCACTGTTATCCGATTTGGCTCAAGGGAAAAGCATTTACTGCCTTTGCTGCTGCCACAGTTGGTAGCGGAGCCTGGTTCCCGGTCGGGAGGCCCATGGGTGGCACGGCGCGGCCTTGAGGGCCACGGCCAGTCGTCGCTCGAGTGCCTCCGGCCGCGGGCCGGGCTCGCGCCGACAGAGCGGCGCGGACAGCGGAGATGCCCGCAGACGATGAAGGCTTCACCGGAGCCGTCATAGGTGGTGGTGGTGACGAGTCGGCCGCCGCTGCGCCAACAGCAGCGGAGACAGGACGGATGACGGTGACGACGGAGCAGCTCAGAGACCTGGTCACAGGGATGGTCCGTGAGACCATGAGCGCAGTGGGGGCGCCCCAGGCGACCAAGGCCGAGCCGCTCCAGACCGCAGCAGACGGCCGACAAAATGATCCATGGCAAGCAGCAGCAGCAGCAGCAGCAGCAGAGTGGCGCCAGGATGGCTGGCGGCAAGACGGCGAGTGGCGACAGCTCGACCACAAGACCGCCGAGGCCGACCAGCGCGATGCCTGGCAGGACTACGGCAAGGACAGCTGGAGCGCCGGCTGGGGCCGGCGTGACGGCTGGTACTCCGGCAGCTGGAGCGGAGGAGGAGTCATGGGAGATTTCTCAGATCCTCCAGCGTGGCCGGGGTGGACACACTATAGACAATGGCGGAGCGCCCTTAAGAGATGGGACAACAATACGGATGTTCCTGTCTGGCGCAGGTATGAGAAGTTTCTCAAACTGTTCGACTGGAATATGCAGGCCCGGTTCGAAGACCTGTCGGAGCAGTTGATCTCAGGACCCAGCTGGATCAGCACAGTCCTCGAGAGAATGAATTTGATGATAGGTGAACGAGAGGGCGACGAGCTCAGACGCACTGGCAGGCGCGCCCTCTTCGAAGCAGCTAGAGAGAATAAGGAGAGCCTCACGCAGTACGTCATGAGGCGAGAATCGCAGTTCCAGGAGGCAGAGGCCAACGAGCTCTGGCTCTCATCGAAGATGAAGGGCCTCATGCTTGAGGAGGGCGCCGGCCTCTCGGGTCAGAGCATGCAGAACCTCCGCACGCTCACCCGCGGGCAGCTCGACTACGAGAGCGTCACCTGGGCCCTCAGGCAGATGGATGCGTTAGGATCTGAACGCCTGTTGCCAGGTAGGAGCGCAGCAGCACTGCCCGCCGTCGAGACCGAAGAGTCCGGCGCACAGAGCAGCTTTTCTCATCCTCCCCCTCCCTCGTACCCGGTTGGTCGGTCCGAGGTAGGTTCCGAGGAGGACGTCGAGGCGGACGGCGACTTCTACGACGACGACCTCGATGACGAGGATGAGGCCGCCATCCTGGCGGAGCTGGAGGATCTCGACCTCGACGAGACGCAGCTCGACGAGGCGATGGCCATGATCGAGTCGAGGTCCAACCAGCGCACTTGGAAGCAGAACAAGGACATCAAGAGGGCGGCCAAACGTGATCGTGAATACTTCGCCCCGAAGCCACGGCCGGGAGGCGCAGGGAGTGCCTCTCAGCCACGGTCTCGCCCAGCCGGAGGACGATCAGACCGCGGCGGTCGCGGACGACAGGAACGAGGGCGAGGCGGAGGCAGCGGCTCTCGGGGCTCAGGCTTTAGTCGCAAGAAGCTGTCACCAGAACAGCTTATGAAGATCACGAGGTGCGGCATTTGCAAGCAGAAGGGTCACTGGCACCGCGAGTGCCCGGAGAAGGACAACCCAAAGTACGCCAACCAGCGGAAGGGGATGTCGGCCTACATGTTCGACGGGGTCGTGTCGGGCTCGGGGGACTGGGTCGTCACTCCGGAGCTGCTGGACCAGTGGAAGGAGCTGGGCCAGGCGATGCAGGACGCCGGCGTCTACTTGGTCGGCAAGCCCACCCAGGGCCTCGTCGACCCAGGTGCCGGCAGCGACCTCGTGGGCTTGACGGCGCTGAACCGCGAGTCGCTGGCACTTGCGGCCGTGGGCCTGAAGTTCGAGGCCATCCCGAAGCAGCACCAGCGCCCGAGGGCAGCACACGGGGTCGGAGGCATGGCGAGGGTCGTGGGCTCCGTACTGTTCCCGTTGTGCCTGGGCGGCGTGCTGGGGATCATCGAGACCACCGTCCTCCTCGAAGAGGTTCCCCACATTTTGTCGGTGAACCTGTTGGAGTTCCTCGGTTGCGCGATCGATTTGCCTCAGAATGTGATGAATTCGGCCACCCTGGAGGTGGACATTCCTTTGACACGTCTGGGATCAGGCCATCGCATGGCCACGATCGTGCAGCAGTTAGAAGCACCGCTGCAGATCCCAGACAATGCTTTGCGGAAGTACCCCTTTCTGTCCGCCGGCGCCTTCTTGCTAGAGTCAGACAAGCCTCCGGAGATGCTGGAGTCCGGGGAGCTTCGCAGATACAGGATCATCACTCATCAGGTCGTGCTGTACGGGGTCTTGGCCAGTATCCTGCTGAGCCTCGGGGTTGTCTTGTGCGAGGCCCCGAGCGGCCGGATGTCTACGGGTTTCTTGGTGGGCTACGTGGGGCTCGCTACGGGGATCTTCGAGTCACGGGCTCAGCTAGCGTCCCGCAAGTCAGTCAGGGCCTTAGGATCATCTCGGGAAGCTAAGGCGACGGTCAGGCACAGCGAGTACGAGAAGCAGGGGCGATCCTGGGTGCCCTCGGCCGTGGCACTACTGATGTCCGTAGCCACTTTAGGCTCAAGCCTCAGGCAAGTGCTTTCGAGATTGATCGTTTCTCAACCCGATTCGTTCTCTCGGCCGAGCCGGCGCAGCAGAAGCCGGCACAGCCATGCATGTGCGCACGGCGACCTTGGCGCTCATCGCTGGAGGGATGGCGCAGTCCGCCCCGAATCCTGCTCCAGCACCGGCGCCGAAGAAGCCTCCCAAGGCCTTCGAGGAGACGCAGGAGAGGCTGCGTCAGGCACGTCGAGAGCAGGCAGCAGCCCAGGCCATGCAGCAGGCGTCCGAGCTGGAGGACCACGACCCCAACCAGGATATGATGACGCTGCAGTCGGACTCCGAGGGCGAGCCCTTTCAGATCCCCCGGCTCCCCGTGGGGGAGGGATACCCCTACGGCTGGCCGCCGCCACAGGCGCCGGGCGCCCAGAGCACCGGAGTCGCCACGGCTCCAGGAGCGGCGGCCTCGTCAGGTCAGGTGGCCCAGCCGCCGCCACCAGACCATCCGCCGCCGGACTTCGTGCCTGGACGCCGCGGGCCAGCGAGCAACGCACCTCAGCACGGCGCGGAGGCGCTCGGGTTCAGCAAGCAGAGGGCGGCGGCTCGAGCAGGAGAGCTACGAGCAGCGGTGGCTCAGGGAGTGGGGGCGGACGTCGACGGTGCCGGAGCGGCAGCGAGCGGGGCAGGAGCCTATCAGCCCCACGCACCAGTCGACTCCACTCCGGCCGGAGGACCAGCAGGACACCGAGCAGCGGC